ACAGTTTGACCTGTACTTTCATCAAGGCTTCTTAGCAACTGACACCATGTGTGGGAGCATGCAAACACACGCGCGCGCGCGGCACACACACACACACACACACACTGGAGTATTGTCTGTACTTGTAAATTTGCTTATCAACGCACTGTAAGCAGTCGTTTGATTCAGACTTTCTGTAGGGCATATGATTCTGCAGGTAAGCTGCTTGCCCTCACAATGGACAGATCCTCTTGGAGGTGTAGAAAGAATCACCCTCGCCTCTTCTCAACCCTTGCCTGTGCATCCATGTTTCTTTGCTGTCTTAAATAAGCATTCGAAATTATTAGAAATGAAGAAATATTGTGCATAGCAAATAAAAACTTCACCATGCTTTGTTTTCTCCTTAAATTGCTTCTTCTGCCCAGCAGGCATAAACTTGTTGCTTGCACAGTAACTGTAAGTGCTTTGGCATCTTACTATCTTCCTTTCATTTCTATCAGAATGGCCTGAATATGAAATCTGAATAAATGCAAAATAGATGGGGCAGTCTGTAATTGAGTAAAAAATTATTTACTGTATTAAAGGAGACAATAGGAGAAGTTTGAAAATTTACAATTGAAGTGATCAAGCACTGCAGTATATAATATTGGCTGAATTATTAGTTCTGGAACATTAGAGGAAAGATGATAGGCATAGAAGTGTTTGAACTTAGTGACAATCTTGCCAAATGTTTTCGTTTTCTAAAGACCCCATTTAACCTAGGCTTGGAGAAACAGCTGCCTTTCTCTTAGTTTAAGGCTAATGGTTAACTCAAAATCTTTACTTTGAAAGAAAGATTCAGTTTACATCAGTCTACTTGAAGTGGTGAAACATCTTAATACACTTTAGGAATATTTTTAACAATAATTAAAACAAAAAGGAATCTATACTCTATTGTCAATTTAATAATATTAATTTAGCCAGTCCTGGTGGCTCACACCTGTGATCCTAGCACTTTGGGAGGCTGAGGCAGGAAGATCACATGGGCCCAGGAGTTCGAGTCAAGTCTGGGCAATAGTGAGACCCCTCTTTACAAAAGATAAAAAAATTAGCTGGGTGTAGTGGTATGCACTTGTGGTCCCAGCTACTTGGAAGGCTGAGGCAGGAGGATTGCTTGAGCCCCAGGAGTTGGAAGCTGCAGTGAGCTCTGATGACACCACTTTACTTTAGCCCAGGCAACAGAGCAAGATCCTATCTCAAAAAAAGAAAAAGTAATAATAATTTTAAAATCATATATAGAAATTCCTAATTTTTGAGTATTCTACTTCATGATGTTTTATCCAAATATATAAGTAGACATGAACCCATAGATATTTATCATCCCTACTGTTTAAAAGTTGTGAATATATTCTTATTCATGTATACAAGTGTGGTTAAAAAACTATACTACTAGAAATTAAGTGGAAACTCAAAATTAGTGAAAATGCTGAATAATTTTTAAAAACAATAACAAAATACATGCTGTTATATTTCTAAAGGTATCCAAAAACTCAGATTTTGTTTCTTTAGTATAAGAAACTATTCTAATGACTTTATGAGTTTCAGTTATTTTATCAATCATAATGTTAATAAATGTTTTTAAAGTGCTTGAAAATAGTTTATTTTCAAGTGTTCTAAACATCATCCCTATAGTCAAGTTGACTGCTCATCAAAACCACTGTCTTGGAAGAAACAGACAGCTGGCAAGGTTAAATCAGCCTGGCTCCTGCTGTATGAACTATAACAAATTCTAAATGGACTGTTTATTGAATTGAAAAGCTGTGCATTGTGGGGTTTTTTTCTTTGTGGTCATATCTAAATATTTATGTCTATATATTTTTAAATATTGTAGCCGTTTTAGATTGTTTCTTTTCCATAGATAGCATTTTTAGTTGTGTAGTCTCACCAATTGGTTGTCCTGGTTGGTTTAGGAAGTTCTTGCAGGAATAAATGAGAATAAGTAGATTGTAAATTAGGAAATAAATAAATTATATTTAGGTAATTGAAAGTAATAAAGAATACTAAGAAAAGGTATCGGAACAGTAAAGAATGGGAATAGTGAGAAAGAACTGTACCTGGGAGGAATCTTGACTTGCTGAACTGCTGGTTCCTTAATTTGAACATTAAATAGTCAGTAGCGAGTTTTAAACAATGGAGGGATAATCTATAAATATTTGTGCTTGGAGTGGCATGCTTAAAATAAGTAGGAAGACACTAAAGAATGATGTATTAGTCTAGAACATGGTCCTCAAATGTTTTAAACAAGGCCTAGCGAGTTAGGACAAGAAATGCTAATAACTTTTTGTTCTATCCCATGCCTTTTCCAGCTGTCCTGTGACCTTGGGCAAGCTTTTTAACTTCTGTAAGCCTCTGTTTCTAGCAGGGAAAATAAAAGTACCTAAGTACTTTAAAGGTACACTAAATGCCAGAAGAAATCCCCAATTAAGGGCAATGTGAACTCCTAGTCCAGTCCTCTCTTTTTGTTGTATCTCCCATTGAAGACTATGCCTGTTTTCTATTTTAGCATTGTGAAATTCTATTTTTTTAAAAGGGGAAAATACAGTTTCTTTTTAACTTTAAGAAAATAGTATGCCTAAATTATATAACCCTCCATTTTTCATTATTAGTCTGAGTATCTCAATATTAATTATGTGTATTTTATTAAAAGAAGTTAGGCATTTGAGGCAGAAATGTTTCTGTTTTATGTTTTTGTTTCACAATCTTATATTTATTTTAAAATTTCTCATTTTTTATATAACTATCTGTGCTTACAAAGCCAAAAGCCTAACGCTTAAATAATGGCATTGTCCAGACTGAAGTAGTCAGTAGCATCTGCTTTCTGCATCTTTGTCCTCATACGCCACAGTTCTCATCTGTCTCTGCTGTCTTTCGCAGTGCAATTGAAAAATAAAAACTTTCTTAAATATTTTTTAAAACATTTAGAACCTATAGTTAGGATGTTCTCTTGAAATTATATCAGCCTTTTATCAGTAAAAGATTGAAATTATGTCAGTGACATTAGATAACAGGAATGCTGTGTCAACTCTCTAATGGGATAAGTCAGTAAATCACTGTAAGCCAATATTTCTTTGTGTTTTATGTAGAGTCGGAGAGATGCATACTTAACTATAGCAATCCTTTCTGGCAAATTGTGGAGTGGAAATTGTGAAGTCAGAAGGTAAACATTTTCATCCAGCAGTAAAGTTATCAGGGTGACATGCACTAGATTTGATTAGAGGAAAACATTGTGGCTCTTAGACTTGGGCGAGAGGGGGACCTGCTCTGCCCCAATGAGTGTCCAACAGAGCCGAGGATGAGAAGGCAAGGGATTAGCAATGGGGGTGCAGGTTTCGTTCTTCTGCCATCACACTGGATGATACTCTGACTTTAAGAATCCTGAATTTGAACTTAGCCTTCTAGGACAGTATGAAGGTATATATTTCAAGGTGCAGCATAGAACATACTTTATTTGACAGTTATCTATGTGATTTATAACTTTTAAATATTTAGACATATATTGTTTAGAGGTCTCTGTTTGCATTCTCACTGTGGGTTCCAGAAAGCTCCCAAAGAAAGGCGTAGGAGATCATTTGAACCTTCATTTCTCCTTGTGGGTGGGCCTATGTCCTTTGGCCCTTTGGTTGGTCCAGTGCAGGTTAGGCCTTCCACAATCACTTTAGGGTGGTGGTCTTAGCCATAATCTGGCCCAAGCCTATGTCTTAGCACTAGAGTGAGGTGACCTGAAGTGATGCCCCCAGGTTTTTGTGTAAAACAATAAACTCTACAGTTCTGTACTTACTGAGCTACCAAGGTAGCAGGTGGAAAATTGAGTGACTGAGATCTTTGGTGTACAAAAGGGAGGAGAAAAGTTCGATCCAGCTGTGGCCAAATGGTTTCTTAGGATTACATATGAATTTCAGTTTTTCACTGAGCGTTGATTGTTAGCTGTTGGGCTTTTACTTTCTAAGATCTGGAATAAATCTTTCTGCACCCACTTAAATATTTTTAGGTTAAAAAAAAACAGAATAATTAGGATGAGAAATACATTATCACGGTTAATTTCTTTATATCTCTGTAAATACTGTTTTATGAGAGAGGAAATAATGAAAAAAATGAGTATCCTCAGTGTACTCTGGTATGCTGTTTATGTCCAAAAGAGAATTTTTAAGTGAAAATATTATTTCAGAACTTCTATAACAAGTTCTTCTAATCTAAATGGTATTATTTTGCTTTCTATACGAATAATATTTTCTGAGCCTGGAGTATTAATTTCAGATATTTCCAGTATTTATAGAAATACTTGGTTTCTTTTATTTGTATATTAGTACAACAAATCTAGCATCTTCAGTTTTCCACTTAATTTTCCAGATACTAAAACTTATACATTTAAGCATAAAAGTTTATTTTTTGTTTTAATAATTTTTGACAGTTAAAAACATTCTATAATTCATATATATAGTACATATACACAGAGAAACACAAGAATGTATATTTTTCTTGCATTTATCAAAGAAATATTTCTAAAATTGCTTAATAATGCTAATATTCTTAAACCTTAAAAGTTAAAGCTTCAGGACTTTTTCATTGTGTAAGAAAAGACTTTAGAATATAAATTTGTTCATTATCAAATATTTTTCACACATATAATTTTATAAATATAAAGCTTGAGAAATGGAATTATTTAAAAAGCAAATTTAAGAAGAAATAAATTAGATTTATTTTTTAGAATGTAATGGTTTTAATGTGCTTTAAAAACATGAAGAAATAATGCTCATAAAGTTTATTTTTCAAATTATAGAAGCATTTATAAGCCTTAACACAATAGAAATGTCAGGAAACAAAGTAAAAAATTAATCATAATAGTGATGAATTTTTTAAATGTGTAGGCATTTTAGTGAAATTGAAGCTTTCTAGAGAGCAAAAGGTGAGTATGTGCTCTCTCTAAGTGATCTAGTATTCTTATTAATTTATGTGTCAATAAGAGAAAATGAATCACTTTTTAGGTTTGTACTACAGAAAGTGCCAGTTAATTTCCAAGGAAGATGTTACTCACGATACGAAGCTTTTCTGTTTGATGCTGCCACCAACCACTCATATTCTGGTGCCCATTGGGCAACATGTTTACCTCAAGCTAACTATTACAGGTAAGGTGAACAGAGGCTTTGGGGGAACATTTTCTTCTTTTATAAGCAGTTGAAAATCAATACTAATCTTTTTAGGAAGCAACCATTTAAGTTATTAATAAATGTTTCCAGGCCAGCTAGTTTAGTATAGCTAGAATCTAGGTTTGTGGATGCAGTGCTTCCTACGCGTTGGAACGATAGCTGTGTCACATTAGTGTACGGAACAAAGAAATTGCCACTAGTTAGAGATGGTTCCACTAACATTTTAATTTACTACTAATAAAACCCTAAAGGAAAGAGGTGAGGGGTACACAAATGGTCCTCCATGAAGACAACTACTAGGAGCTCATACTAGCATCTCTTATTAGCTACTTAGGACTATATTATTTAGAAGTTGAATTTATAAAATTCAAAATGAGTAGATGATTATAAATGATTTTCTTATATATGCTATCAGTATTAGAAACTCTATAAATGTATAAATGTGAATTCTTTTCCCCTCATTTTCATCCTAAAATTACCTCACTTGTTTTAAATACTCTTCTTATTGATGTCCAACATTTTCTTGGCCTTTTGAAGCTGCAAAAGATAAAATTCTCATGTTAGTCATAGTGTTTCCAGCAATCAGTCTTTATAGGCTACCAGCTAGGATTTGGTAGATATGGTATACTATGATGACACTGTTAAGTTTTTATCTGCATCATCACTAGTGGCAGGTTACCATTCAATATCGGGTATCTTCCCCTATGCAGTTATTGCCAATGTATTTTAATTTACATATAGTTTAATTTTGTATATATCAAGGGGTCATTAATAAAATTTTGATTTTTTTAAATGGGTAACGACTCTTTAGAATTTGACTAGCTAAACGTATAACATGAATTCTTATTTATTTTACCCTTTTTAAAAATAATATTAATAGAAGTAGTTGGATTAACATTCTTTTCATTCAGTTACCAAAGTAATGTATAATATGTTAAAACATTAAAACAATTAAAAATATGTAAAGTAAAAAGTGAAATTCCTCCCTTTCTCCCCAAATGATCTCATTGGCCATCAGTAACCATATTAAAAATTTGGTATATAATTAAAACTATGTTAATACTTTTAGATATCTCTATGGTAAATCTTTGATGCTATTTTTGGTGTAGCCCATTGTAGTTTATGTGCTGATAGGGTAGATGGTTGACTAAAATCATTAACATATATCCTGGCTGGGCATAGTGGTTCATTCCTGTAATTTTAGCATTTTGGGAGTCTGAGGTGGGAGGATTACTTGAGGTCAGAGGTTGAAGACTAGCCTGAGAAAGAGCAAAACCCCATCTGTACAAATAATAGAAAAAATTATCCAGGCATGATAGTACGTGCCTGTAGTCCCAGCTACTTGGGAGGCTAAAGCAGGAGGATTGCTTGAGCCCAGGAGTGTGAGGCTGCAGTGAGCTATAATGATGCCACTGCACCTCTAGCCTGGGCAACAGTGCAAGACCCTGTCTCAAAAACAAAAAACAAACAAACAAAAACGACCGGGCGCGGTGGCTCATGCCTGTAATCCTAGCATTCTGGGAGGCCAAGGTGGGAGGATCGCCCAAGGTCAGGAGTTCGAAACCAGCCTGAGCAAGAGCAAGACCCCGTCTCTACTAAAAATAGAAAGAAATTAATTGGCCAACTAAATATATATGTAAAAAATTAGCCAGGCATGGTGGTGCGTGCCTGTAGACCCAGCTATTTGGAAAGCTGAGGCAGGAGGATCACCTGGGCCCAGGAGTTTTGAGGTTGCTGTGAGATAAGCTGATGCCAACGCACTCTAGCCTGGGCAACAGAGTGAGACTCTGTCTCAAAAAAGAACCAAAACAAAACAAAAACGAAAACACAAAAACAAAGAAACAACCATATATCCCTATTTGATTAGACTACATTTAATAAAAGAAGGTTGTTTACATTATGGGTAAAGTATTGATTTATTAAAATTATTTTAGCACATATACTTACATATCTGATACAGAAGTGTATATACTTACATATATTATATACATGTACTATAACATATAGTTAGAATTATATACATATTAGGTATATAGTTTTAAGTGTATACTAATATTGTAAAATTTGTATGTTTCATCTTTATTAAGAGCTTTTCAGATTTTTAGAATTTAATTTCTTTGTTGTGATTTTTTTCTAGGTACAGAAATAGTAAAGCCATATACACCTGTATCTCATTCCTTACTCCCAGAGTTCAAAGAACCAGTTCTTCCCAATAATAACTATATCTACTTTTTGATCAAAGTCTATCCTGCTGGACTCTTCACACCAGAGCTTGATCATCTTCAGACTGGTTAGTATTTTACATTTTTTAAACCTCATTTGTGCTCTAGATTGGATCAAACTGTCCTCTAGTTATTTATCTCCATGTGGGAGTTTATCAAATATCTTAAACTCAACATGACCAGGGTCATCTTCTCTTTGTCTCACGCAACCTATCTGTACTCCACATTACCTGTCTTCATTATTTGCAGCATCACTGTTCAACCTTGACCCAATCTGGAGACTTGAGTCATCCTTGATTCTTTCCACTTTCTCTCTCTCAATCCAATCAGCCAGTAAATACTATTGAATCTACCTCTCGGTGACTTTTTAATCTTTACTCCCTATCGCTTCTGCCATTCTCTTAAAGCAAACCTTTATCATTTCTTTCTTGGCCTGTAACTGGTCTCTTAAAATTGACTCTAACTGGCATCTTTCTCTATCTGCATTTTCCAGTTCTTTCTCCAAACTGTCCTTAGAATAGAGTCAATCATGTTGCTCTGCAGCTTTGAAACCTCTGATGGGTCCCCATTGCCTTTACTTTGTAGTCTACGAAGACTTTGATGATCTCTTCAGCTTCATCTTTGCTATGCAGAAATACTTGTGCTACTCATAGTTTCACAAGTTTGTCATCCTCATTCATTGGTACATGCAGTTGCCTCACCTAGGATGCCCATGAACCCTTTTTCTACCTGTCAGGTGTCTATTTTTAAAAACCCAAACAAAATACTACTTCCTTTATAAAACCTCTCTCCTCCCCTGAACCCCCCAATAGCTAACACTTTGTTCATAATGCTACTATAATAATAAATATGTTCCTTCTTTATAAGTCTTTGGGTTTAAGGGCAGAAATTGTCTTATCTTTGTATCTGCAGTGCCTTGCATGGCAGTTGGCACATAAGAGGCTGTGAGTAAATGTACTTTGAAAGTATGAATAAAAAACTATAGTGAGATCTATTAAGATTTAAAGACCTCTCTTCTTGCCTCTTCCCCCTTTTCTGTGTTTCCTTTTCACTGCTTTTTACCTAATGGCAAAAGTGTTTTTCCTCTTTCTAAGGCAGCATTAGCAGTTCATTGAGGTACCAATGAAGTGGATCACTAAAATTTGAAAATAAAGAAAATTATGTTACTTTCTAAAAGTTAAGCTTAGAAATTGACACATAGTCATTCTCAGTTATATAAACCAAAGTATTGTATATGAATGTGAATCTGCAATATTTTGAAATACCTACAAATCTAGTGAAGGTCACTATCACATTGTGAAGAAAGGACTGACACTTGATTGTAATATAGTAAGTGGAAACTTAATGAAATATGTATTATAACCTGTTTATAGAGATGTTGTGAACATAGGAGGGTAGAGAGAGCCTAGAGCATGGAGAAGGTAAGCCCAAAGTATAAGATGAAGTGTTATTTCAACTTTATGCAGGCAAGTGAGACATGGCACAAATACTGTGTCACTTAGAGAGTTGTGCGCTTACATGGTAGTGATAACTCAGGCAGCCTCATCATGGCCTAAATTAATGCCCCCATACAATCGTCCACCTCTTTGTTTCAATCCCATGTTCACCAGGCAACTTTTATATGATTAATTTGGCCTTTCACATGTTCTGATACTAGGAATAAGATACCCTGGGACATGTAATGTCCAAGTCACTAGATACATATAACCCCAGCTGTAAATCAGTTGCCATTCTGGCATGTGTACTCTCATCTCTTGTCAATTTGATTAGCATCGGTCACCGTCCCTCAGTCTAATCAGTTTTGTAACATTGAAAAGACTGAACTGTTCATGAAAGGTGCCAAGTTAATACTATCCTGTGAGGCTTCTTTAGTAACCAGCCATCTATCTGGATTTTTCCTAAGGGCATTCTGATCCTATGATCCCTTTCAAGCTATAACAAGAAGTTTCTATTACTTTCAAATACTGAATTAATCAGTTACTGCAAGATTCTTACTATCCTGCAATGGAAAACAAAGGTGAAGTTGTAAGCATCCAAACATTTTAAAATAAACTAGATGAGCCAGGTGCGGTGGTGCACACATGTAATCTCAGCACTTTGGGAAACTGAGGCAGGAGGATCACTTGAGCCCAGGAGTTCAGGGTTACAGTGAGATATTATCATGCCACTATGCTCCAGCCTGGGTGACAGAGTGAGACCGTGTTTCTGAAAAACATAATAATAATAAAATCGAATATTTGAAATCATTTAAAAATTATGGACACTTTTATTTTTCATGTTTAAAATTACATTGGAAATTCTGAATCTAGTCCTAAAGGCAGTTTTCTTGAATGATACATGGTGTTTGTATCAACTGTAGAAAATGGGCACTGGGGATTGTATGCACTGTAGAAAATAGGCACTTAATTTCATCTGTGTTGATTCTAGATTGGAAAGTGGCATGCTCTGAGTACAGTTGACTGTTTCTGATCTTGCTTTGTTTTTATAGGAATTAAACTCAAAACAACCTTGTTGTTTTAATTGATAGACCTTTTCAAAAATTTGATGGAGGAGAGGTCATCACATTTACCAGCATGAGGTTTTAGAATACATTTCTATTTCAATTTCCTCACCTACTAATACTATTACTATGGTTAATAATCAGATGTAAATAGTGAATATCTATTCTCACCCTTTGCCATGCAAGACATGTATATATGGACTCTGCTTTTAAAGTACTTATAATTTAAATTAGCAATCAATTCTTTATTGATAATTTGCAGATAAATACTTTGTAGTAGTTTGTAAATTTCAGACTTCAGGTGATTTGGGAAAATAACAGTGGGAAATGATGTCATAAAATCTCATTATTAATTTGATTATAATGATGTAATCCAGACATACTTGGTGGCATAGTGATTACCCCTGAAACTCTTCGCATATCATAAAGACTGATATATTAATTTGCAAGTTCAGTATTCATCTTGTTACTCATCAATCTTCTAAATTCAGCTACTTTTTAGCCTTCTAGTTTCCCTGCTGGGTGTTTCATTTTGTTTTGCTGATTTAGTTTATATTTCATTGTTTAGGAAATTTTGTTTCTGTAAGCAATCCTGAGGGCAATTTTAAAATATCCATCTTACAAGAATTAGAAGATCTCTTTTTGTTGGCAGCTGGAACAGGCTTCACTCCAATGGTTAAAATACTGAATTATGCTTTGACTAGTATACCTAGTCTCAGGTATGTATTTTTATGTCTAATTACTATCTTTTTTGAGGCTGTTATATTAGTATAAGATATCCTAAATTGACTACTTGCTGGATCTTAATAGACATGTTCTCATTCCCTCATTAATCATTTCTTATACGGCCTCCTCCAGTCCTAGCTATTTTATTAAGTTGGTTCTTATCTCATTTCAGTTTTTGATATTTTTGGTTATCTACTTGACACTAAAACATTCACCCTAGTTCACTTTAGATTTTCCATTTGTGTATATTTTAAATGTTATTAATTAGTTTTTTCTGAGTTTTTTTTTTCTTTTAAGGAAAGTGAAGCTGATGTTCTTCAATAAAACAGAGGATGATATAATTTGGAGAAGCCAATTGGAGAAATTAGCATTTAAAGATGAAAGGTATTAAACTGGTATTAGCTCTGCATTTACATATTTATATCTATATAGTAAGTCTAGGCCTTATCTCCTTTGGTGGGAGCTTGAATTTACCAGGAAGCTCCTTCAAAGAAAAAATAAATTAATTAATAATTACTTAATGTAGATAATGTTAATGTCCCCCCTCCTTCAAAGAAATACTGTCTAATAAGATCTAGGTAACCTCATATATGTATAAATAAAATGTATATTTGGCTTTATGATCATGTTATATAATTTGTACTGAGTTGGGTTTCATTGAAAATGTTCCAGTGTAGCCAATTTGGTAATCCAAGATTTTCTTGTATAAAGAGGGGGAGATAAAGAAAATTTCGTAAGGATGAATTAAGCAAAATTAACCACAGTACATACAAGATTTCTAATGTCTGTTGTGACTTTCCAAGAGAGGGATTTCTTATGCATTGTTTAGCAAGATGCTCTTCATTTTTTGTTTGTTTGCATTAACACTTAACAATAGCCCTATCACTAGTGGTCCTCAGTATATACTTTGAGAAATACTGATAGAGACAATAAAAAAAAGTTCTAATCAAGCTGAACTCAGTAGTACAATGAGGCAGAAAATATAGCAAATTAAAAATGTATTTTATTGAAAAAAGAGTCCAGCATAGTCAACTGAAATAAGAAGATAATTTAAATGAGCATATGCCCCATCGCCCCTAAAAATATTTGAAAACAATAGAACGTTTAGAACAAATTTTTTTACAAGGGGAGTGAATTGGACAAGCTATTATACTTTCTAAAGCATTTCTGTAATCATTAAAAGCTATTTGTAAGAATTTCAGGACTTTATAAGTTGCACAAAATATGTGAAGTAGATATTTGTTGATGATAGTATGGTATAGGTGAAATTCTAGGCCTTTTAAAATTTAGAGGTCAAGCCCTTAGAACTCAGTTGTCTCAGGGGCTCTAGGTTCTTCTGAATATTTTCTCAATATCCTTAATAAGGTAATGCTGTGGTATTTTCCAGTTCTTTTTCCTTTGTTGCCTCCTATCATCCTCCCTTTAACTTACTCATCCTTGAATTATTTACTATTCTTTACATACTAAAAACATAAACCTAAGAATATTTCCTATACTTAGGTAGTTGTATGTCAATTTAGAGAATAGTTTAAAGAAATACAAATTCTTAGGTTTTCAAGTATCTTTTACACTAATTTTCAAAGTAGAAAATTGGAAGCATTTATCAAGAACCCTAAAGACCTAAATTCTAGTTCCCATTATACTCCTCACTGGCATGAAACTTTATTCAAAAATTACTAGTTCTATGGGCCTGTCTCTTTATCTTCAAATTACATAATGAGATCTTTCCTACCTACTTCATAGAGCTATTGTGAGATTTGGAGAAGATAATGTAAATGCTTTGGAAACTATGAAGCCCTCCCTCATATATTTGAATGTTAGTTATAGAGGACCTCTGTGTACATGTGTTTGTTTTCTGTCTTATGTGTAAGAGCTTCTGTTTTCCTAAACAAACATTTAAAAGAATTTAAGCAGACATAGCTAGGCTTTTTTTTAGCTAGGTTTTAGAAAACATATATTTCTGGTGGTTTTTCGACAAAGATATTCTTTAAGATAGTTCCCTTATAAAAGAGATTTTATAAAACTTTTAAAAGAAATTTATTATCTTAATGAATAAACATTGTGCTTTCAGTCTATTAATAGGAGTTAAACTTGATTTATAGTTTAATTGATAAAAAGGAATGTGTTGACAGCCTCTGAACATAAAAGTGTTTTTTCACGAAGTCAACTATGTTTTTTGTTTTGTTTTGGTCTACATAATTTGGGTTGGTGGAATTGCATAGGCTGGAGTTGTGAGGATGAGGAAAGGCCCCTTTTTTTTCACTTCTGGATGCCTGGCTCTAAGAGCACGCGCCAGGTGAGTGATGCTCTCCAGCTTGCTGAGAGAAGTGATAGTGTCCCGACCTCCGGCCTGCCCTTATCCTCCCTCTTCTCTTGCTCCTCTTGCTGTCCTTGCTGGCTCATGTGTGCTCTCTCCCCTCCTCCCTAACCTTCTCCTTCCTCTTTCTGGAGACTTTGCTCTCCTGGCTCAATGCACCCTGTTGACACTGCCTTCTAGCATTGTCTGATTTACGATCCCGAAGGACTCATGGCCTTTTTTGAGTGAGGTCAGGTCAGGCCCCTTGCTTGAAAACAAAAACTCCTTGCTTGTGTAGACGCCTTTGGAATATTTGTCAGAAGTTTTACTTAGAGGCTTTACATAGAAATAAACAAACTCTAGCCTTAAAGGCTTACTGATGAGTTTGGGTAGTATTATTCAGTCAAACAATACATAAGAGGAAAGTAAAAGTTCAGATTTAATATAAGGTAATTTTAATTAGTTACAGCTGTATTTTAGTTAACATTTAAGGCTATTAATTTATTAATATATTAAATCACCCTTTTCTACATCTCCCTATGTAACTTCTATGTTACATAGAACTATGTTACGTAGTACACATGTACTCCCCTATGTAACTTCTAGTTTCAGTAATAAAAGTTTTTGATGACAAAATGTATTGTCTGGCTGGGCGCAGTGGCTCACGCCTATTATCCTAGAACTCTGGGAGGCCGAGGTGGGAGGATTGCTTAAGGTCAGGAGTTCAAGACCAGCTTGAGGAAGAGCAAGAGCTCTGTCTCTACTAAAAATACAAAAAAAAATTAGCCAGTCAACTAAAAATAGAAACAAAAAAAAAATTAACTGGGCATGATGACTTGCACCTGTAGTCTCAGCTACTTCATTGGCCGAGGCAGGGAGGATCACTTGAGCCCAGGAGTTTGAGGTTGCTATGAGCTAGGCTGACACCACAGCATTCACTCTAGCCCAGGCAACAAAGTGAGACTCTGTCTCAAAAAAAATGTATTGCCTGGACACATTTCCTTAGTTAAAGTGTTATTGAATTATGAATATAAAAAAATTCTAAAATTTAGTAGTTAAAACAAGTGAAATATCCTATTCTCTATAGAATTAGGTCTTAGCCTTCCACTTAATCCTTTGTGGAACAAGGAGGGATAGTAAGGATGGATACTGAGGCTGGTATATGTTCTAATATTTTCATTTTCAGTAAATATGCTATGCTTGTCCTCAGAGTTTATCTGGATAATATCATTAGCAAATGAAATTCTTTGAAATAACATTGTACAATGGAATCTTTTTAACCTTGTGACCTTGGGCAAGTAACTTGATCTGAGTGAGCTGCAGTTTTCCCATCTATAAATCCGAGACATTGGCCAAGCACAGTGGCTCATTCCTGTAATCCTAGCACTTTGGGAGGCCGAGGCAAGAGGATCACTTGAGGCCAGGAGTTCAAGACCAGCCTAAGCAAGAGCAAGACCCCCGTCTCTACAAAATATAGAAAAATTAGCCAGGCATGGTGGTGTGTGCCTATAGTTCCAGCTACTTAGGAGGCTAAGGCAGAATGATTGCTTGAGCCCACAAGTCAGAGGCTGCAGTGAGCTATGATCATGCCACTGTACTGTAGCTCCAGTGGCAACAAAATGAGACCCTGTTTCAAAAAATGAAAAAATAAAAAATAAAACAAGACATTAATACCTACATCATAGAATTATTTGGGTATGGGGATGCTTGAGTTAGTCTAGTCCAGTCTAGCATGTTTGTAACAGACGTTCATTCATTCATGAAATATGTGTGAGCATCTACTATGCACCTATTCATGGGAGTACAACAGTAGGAAGATACTGTGTTGGCTTATTTTCTCATGCAGTTCAGGGAATGCATCTCTTTATTTTCCTTTATTGCTGCACTCAATAGAATTGTATAAATAAAGGTACTTCATAAATAATTTTTTAGGATATTTCTCTTTCTCTTTCAGTCTAGTTATCATGTCATTAAGTAGGAAATTTGAACAGAAAAAAAAGTCAGCTTACCTGAATTTTATCCAAATGTGTTATTACACTTGGCTGTTAATTCCAGTAGCAGTTGGGATTCAATTCACAGCATTCCAAGTCTAGCAAAATCTTAGTTTTTTTTCTTACAAAAAATTGAGAGAAAACAGAAGGCAAATATGTACAGTTGTGGATTTAACTAAATGCTATGTAAAACTGAAATCCGTGTTAAATTTCACCTATCCTTCTCTCAAATATGTGAGCAGTGTTATGAGGCTCAGCTGACTCAGGCTTACACGTGGCCCACCTCCTTCCTCCCATCAGTAGAGTGCACTGGCTCTGTGAGTGCTCTGTTATTGCAGAACCAGTTGTGAGGAGTGGCACAGTTTGACAAGGAGGTTGACTTCTAGAGAACCTTTTTAAATATATAAATATAATGAGTATTTTTTCTTCCTTTTCAAAGCAGTCATTTTTATGGCAATTAATTGTATTTTATTAGAGCAAGTAGTACATTCTTTTTGTAAACAACATTTGTTCATTTTTCCCTTCTATTTATAAAATTAATACATATTTATATAGAAAAGTATAAAAAAGTGAAAGGAAGAAAATCACCCATAATCCTGTCACCCAAAGAATAATTATTAACAGTATGATCAGTATCTTTCCATTACCACATACGTAAACACACATCTTATTGTTTTTTTTTATTTTTAATATAATACAGTCATACTGACTATACTTTTTACAACTGTATTTTCTACTTAGTGTATTGTGTGTCTTCTATGTATATATAGAATATTTTCAACTGGTGGTTTTCAACCTGGAGCAGCCCTACCACCCCAGGGCCATTTATCTCTGGAGACATTTTTGATTGTTGCAACTGGGGGAGGAGTATTACTGACAGATAGTTGGTAGAGGCCAGGAATGCTGCTAAACATCCTACAATGCAGAGGACAGCTCCCCACAACAAAGAATTATCAAGCCCAAAATACCAGTGGTACCAGTTAAGAAACCCTAGAATATACCATGATTTTTAATAACTGCATTGTATTCAGTCACATGGGTATACCATAATTTATTTAACAAGTCCCCAACTATATGACATAATGACTAGAAGTTGTTCTCTATAACAGTGTAAAAATTCATCAGAAGAATCACTAGGTCAGAGTGTTCTAAGGCTGTTGATAAATTCTGACAAATAGCCTCTGAAAGATAAAGTACCTAGTACAGAATATTGTACCCAGCACGCTTGATATTATTAGTGTCATTATTTTTCTATAAGAAGGCTGGGGAGGATAGTAGTTGGGGAATAAGAGAAAGAAAAAGATGCCAAGCAGCAAGGGAACTGGTCACAAAGGAAAGGAAATTATTTATCCAGTTATATGGAACAACAGAAGATAGAGGATCATTTGTATTACTGTAAGCGTTTGTGTGCTCACTAGTTGCATAATGTGCTTGACATTGGGGAAAGATGCAAAATAAGGGAAACTACCCTATTGGTGGAGAAGTTCCGGAGTACATCAGTAACTGTAGAGTCTGTGCCTTGAGAGGAACAAATAACATGTCATAGAATTCTGGGAAGAAGAAAGAGTAATTCCATTTTTGTGAAGGTAGGATATCAGAACTTATGGAAGAAGGGACTTTTAAGTTGGGCTTTGGGAAACACATTAGCATATCTATGAACAGGAAAAGAAATTTGGGTAGTGGGATTGCATGTGTAAAGACATGAGGGCCAGGATGTTTTAGTGTTTTAGTGACAGAGCAGAGTCATTTTGTTGAAATAAATATAGTGTATGAAGGAGAACATGTAAAATAACTGTAAAGAAAAACCTATTAAACCTTATATCATTATTTGAAGGAATCTTAATGGTGATTGTTTCTAACCCTTCTGTTTTACAGTCAAAGAAACAGGGTAGGCTAAAATCAGATAAAGGGAGGCCTTGAATGTAATTCATATGCTAAGTAAATTTTATGTATTAAATGGACATGGGAAGGCCCAGAGGCACTCTGCAGCTCATCTCCCTTTAGTACTAACAGGCTCCATAGATGATGTTTCTGTACTTTGGTGTCAGTGTTGGGACTAGCAATGAATCCGTTCCATTTAAGGAACAAAACCAGATGATTCCACAAGTATAAGTAAATTGAACAGTGTACCTGAAACCCTTTTTTCCCCCAGCCTCTGATGCACACAGATAGGCAGACCCCTAATTCTGGACCTTTATACTACTTTCTGTTCCCAGGAGATGTTCCTCAGTGGTTTGTGTTTCTTGGAATGTACTTGAAATACTCGTGTTCTCACCCATGGCTCTATGATTGAATAAGTTTGGGAAACAATGTATACCTTCTTGAAGATTTACTCTGAACTTAGCATTTTCAAGACTTTCAGAAAGTCTAAAGAAATGTATTTAATTTTTTTAAAACCCTGTATGTCCTAAACTTATTTAATAGGTTAGTCTGTTTTCATGGGAAAATTACTAACATCTTAGAGGCAGTCTAGTATTTATTTCATCAGATTTCATTTTGAAAAATGTTTCTGTAATTATGTATAGCTTATCTAATTTTAACCCCTAGTTTTGTGAACTGTTTTTCCTGTGAGCAAATAGCAAATTTTCTGGCAATTCCAAGTATTATTTTTTAGCTAGAAAAACTGAGGTCCCAAGTACTCTGAAATACTAATGTGTGAGCAATGAGGAATCACTGAAGCTTTTTAAGCAAGGAGTTAACAAGATTAGATCTGAGTTTTTAGGAGAACTAATATGGTAGCAGTGTGTCGAATATATGAAAGACTGAGGCTGTTAGTGTTTATTTTAGACAGGACATATAAGGGCCTGATCTGGAGTTGTGGCAGTAAAAATGGGTGGTTGGGGGCATGTGTGAGAAACATGGAGGAGATAGGCTGTGGAAACCGATGGCTGGAGGAGGAGGGAATAAGTTGTTGGATGACTACAGACTCTACATGTGATTTAGACTTAATGAATATATGTGTAGTTCAAGATATTTAGTCTCAGATCACTGTCAGTCTACTTTAAAATAAAATTTTTGACAAACTTATTTACTTTTATTGACACTTTTTACCACATAGGCATTTATCAAAAGCAGGTCTGTTCGTTCTCCTCTCCCCCTCTCCCTCCCCATCTCCTATGTTGCTTTGCATGGGTTATCTGAATTTAATTTCAGGTAACCTTTTTAAGAGTCCTAGTTCCTTCTGACCCTTTTGAAATTATGGAGGAATTCCAGGATGTTTACTAATGTGCCTCCTTATGCCTCCAGCAACTCAGTGTTGCATTATTTCCGACAGGAAGTTGTCCTTCATCATAAAAACCCAGGAGAGAAAATTCCACAAAAATCGTATATATTTTGATGTATTATAAGAAATCCTTCTTGAGTCTTAACTTGGGATTGCTTCTGCTCCAGTTTAAGTTCTTTTTACTTCCTGTGAAGGAGATAAACAAGATAGCAGCTTCTTTATACTATCCTTAAATTGTAGTCATGCTGCCTGTTCACTTTTTCTGTTGAGTGCCCAAAATTATAGTCAAGAGACTATTATATGAATAAATTACAAAATGCATGAGAAGTTTATACCATTTTTGTAAGGATCTCAGTTATTTAACAGTATTTAGTAGATACCTGCAGCAAATGTGTCACTGATTAGGCTTTTTTTTAGCATCCCAGTAATGGAAAATTATCAATATATATTTATTTCAGCTTACAAGGACTTCAGCATTAATTTATTTATCTTAGCAATTTTATTTCAGTGCTAGGCTCTTTGGAACTAGAGTCACAGGAGACTTTTTTTTCCTTATAATTTAACAGAGCAATTTCTCTCATATATCCAAATATTTGTATATAATTGGAAATTTGTTAAAATAGTGGTTTTGTAGCTGCTTTCGCATCCCCTTTGATAACCTTGTGAAAGATTATGGAAATTCTTCCCAGAAAAATGCACTTATGAATCCTTATACATTTTTTTTAAGAGATGGGGTCTTGCTCTGTCCCCCAGGCTGGGGTGCAGTGGCACGATCATAGCTCATGGCAGCCTCAAATTCTTGGCCTCAAAGGATCCTCCCACATCAGCCTTCCAAGTAGCTGGGACAACAGGCATGTGGTACCATGCCCAGGCATATACATTTTTACATGTAATTTCATAGATGCCAGCACATGGCTTTGTTCTTCTGGGTATAATTTTTTATATTTAGCTTCTTTAGTATGCCTTGTTTGTAAATAAATTCCTTATTCAGCAAATATTTTTTGTGCATTTATATTGAGCCAGGCCTGGATACAGTATTGAACAAGACAGACAAGGACCCTTCTTTCATACAGCAGTAAGCAAATATCACATCCTGAAATTATCTAAAACTTGTCTCAATTTTAAGTGCTAGGAAGGAAAACAGCTTAGTGAATATATTTGGGGAGCTATTTGGTACAGGACAGATTAGTATTGCTGCTAATACCAAATGGGAACCTTGAAGGTAAGAAATAAAGCACAATTCTGTAGGTGTTCTGAATATAGAACCATAAAATATTAGAATTATAAGAGATTATGCAGTTTCCTGACCTCATTCCACAAATGGACAAGTAAGACCTAGAGGCTGGGGTCTGTGTGCAGAGTTGGAACTGGTTCCCTGGCCCCTGGCTCAGGTGCTTTTACTTGGTCTGTGCTGCTTGTGCCAGGCTTCTCGATTCTTGGGAACCTTAACCCAGCTGAGACACAGTGGTATGAAGACAGCCATGCCAGCCACACTTGTTTCTGTTCTCATGTTTGGTTCCCTAAACTCCTCACAAGAGAAACTGTTCAGCTTTTTCTTAAGATTTAGATTAATGTGTAAATAATGTCTGCTATTCTTCAGAAAATATCTTAATTGCTTACTGGAACATGTAGAAATGCATTTGATCTCATGCTATTGAATATAATAATAGTAAGAAGTAATCATGTTTGCTAAAATGGAGCAAACAGAGCAGATGCAAAATAGCATTTTGAATTGACTATGGCTTTTTACCAGCAATTTACTTAATAGACTACAAAGCCTGTAGGAAGAAACAGTCTGTAGTTACATTGTGAGACGTTTGATGTTCTTCTTTCCTGTTTGTTCATTCCATAGTATTTGAGTGCCTCCTGTGTGTTGGCCACTAGCGATACCGTTATAGCCAAAGCAGACATGGTCCCTGCTCTCATGGAATTTATGGTCTATTGGGGAAATAGACCCATTTAAAATAATCTTGGTGATCACATATTTACAACCTGAAGTAAGGGCTATGAGGAAAAGGAAAAGGAAAACATTTCTACAACCTGTAAAACATAGGACCCTGGATTGGTGGGGACACTGTGCTTTCCTGTGGGAATGATGCTTGAGCTAAGAACTGAGGAGTGAGGGTGTTAGAAGCATTACAAAAGAAGAAATAGACCAGGCAATGTTATGGCAGTGAAGGCTGAAAGAAGTAGCCAGAGAGTTAGGAGCTGGAAGGTAAGACAGAGAGGTTCAGAAGTAAATCCCGGATTTCTGGATCGTGCAAGCAAGTGGACTGTGGTCCCAGTCACAGAGATAATGTCAGGTGTAGGGGCGTGGAGATCACAGTTGCAGTTTAGGATCTTTGAGACAGCAACATTGAGCAGTCAAATAGGCTTCTTACTCAAACTGGTTATAAGGGTCTGGAACTCACTGCAGAGTAAAATGCACATGTCACTGGTAATTGTTTTTTACTGTGATTCATATGAGCAGATTATTAATAGAAATGTGGGGTTCTCTGGAATCTCTTGAAGCTCTCTTTCTAATGAGTTAAATGAAAAAATGCCAAATTACTTTCCTTATCTATAGCAAAAGCCAATCCTTAGTAAATATGAGTTTACCTATATGTTTTTGTTAAATCTTATAATCTATTCCAGTGGTTTTCTAGCAATTATATCAATATTTACATATTAAATTGTTCTTTTGTGGGGGGTGTTTTCATATTAATAATAGACTTTAAAAACTATTTTTTCCCTCTAGATTTGATGTTGAATTTGTTCTCTCAGCACCTACTTCTGAGTGGACTGGCAAACAGGGGCACATTTCACCAGCTCTTCTTTCTGAATTTTTGAAAAGAAATTCGGATAAATCCAAAGTCCTCGTCTGCATTTGTGGGCCACCGCCGTTTACAGAACAAGGAGTAAAGTGAGTGGCAGTGTAGTAGGAAACAGAATGCCTAACACTGTGAAGTAAAAGATCTTTCCTAAAAAGCAATTGATTTATCTTTCAGTTCTTCCTATTCATATGAACCTCTACTTTAATAATCTGTTACAGTGTAAGGAAGAAAATAGAAAAGTGTTTAATGTTCATACAAGTGAAGGGGTTGGAGGCCAGGATTGTGCCTAGTGTTAGATACGAACACAAGAATAAGACACGGCCAGCAATTAGTGTTCTCTGCTAACGACAGGCAGTATGGACACTTTCACAAGATTGGTGTCACAGTCTTATTTGGGACATTAGGCTCAATCTCTTCTTTCACCAAAGCTTTATAATATATAGTAATTAAAGAAATTAGTAAGTAATATCATCTCATTATAGCTTTCGATCTTCATTCTCTGCATCTTGGTGAAAGTTAGTAGATAATAAATATGTGATCAAAAGCCAGGTAGCAACATAAAAACGGAGAAACTAGAACATAAATAAGGTAAGACTAATAATTGAAGCCTGGATAATGAAAAATCAATGGCAGTGGCCATCCTATTTGAAATTTCTCGTGATGTGATTTAACTCTAAAATGATACTTTACTATATTTGGTTAAGTAAAGCCACAGTTGAGTTTCTAGATAATTTTAAAATATGGCTGCTTTAAATGCCCTGTTTTTTCTTATCTAGTATGTGACTAACATTTTCTAGATAATTTTATATCTTGTTTTTTTATTTTTAATTATGAAAAGGATTTACTCCCAATCAATAAATAAAGGCACTAAAAATATTTCTCCTCATGTTATATTTTAAATGTGTTTTAATTAAATTTAAGTATATTTCTGGATTTTAATACTTTCAGAAGAATGTTTTGCTGGTTAATCTCTCAACTTTAAAAAAAAAATTTTAGAGTTTCTATTTAAACTTTTTTAAGACTCAAGCAGAACTTCAAATTACAGTGAAGAGTAATGATATGATTTGAATATAAAATAATTTGGGGGGAAAAAAGGCTAAGAGCTATCCTATCTTCTGCTGTATTGACACTACTACTTTAGAAGTATCTCAATGAGTACTTTATAGATTGTAGTATCATACTTTTAAATGATTAGAATATATTTTTGCATTTTTAAAAAATGTACTATAACCTGTATAGCTTTCTTTTCCCAGTTTTACCTCATAGTGAATCTTTTAATGCTGTACTAGCTGACTTACCCAGAATTGCTCCAGAGTGTTACTAATCATTACATAGGGATGCCTGCTATTACCCTTGAACATGCTGCATAGTAATGCCTTTTGAGATGTAATGTGATTCAAATCAGTACTTGCAATTCATAGCAGCTGCCCTTGTAACTTTCAGTTAGGATTCATTTCTTGGCTTCCTTGTCCTCACCATCTTAATGGCTGTGCTGTATTTTCCTTAATTGGCAATTATAGGGTGTCTCTTAATATATTATAATTTTTGCTGTTCTGAAAAATGACTTTCTTTGGGATGCCCACTCCTAGGGCCCTCCAAAATGAATCTCATGTCCACAACATAAGTTATACTATAAGTATAATCATCCCAAACATACTCTCCACATTTGGTGAACATTTGTCAATATGCATGATGTGATAACAGAGAAAGACTCAGAAACCTATTTTTTTAAAAAATATAGATAAACAGCTTATAATGACTTAGTCAATAATGGTTCCTTCATCCACTAAATATCTACTTTATTACGGAGATGAATAAAACAATCTCTGCTTTCAAAGCCCAACTGTCTAGTGGTAGAAACAAATGCTCATACTGGTAGCTAAAATATGACTCAGAACATCATAAGTACTCTTACTAGAGATAAAAACAAGGTGTTAAAGGAAATTCAGGGAGAGACAAGTTACTTTTACCAAAGGTGTATGTATTGGAGTGACAGGAACTGCATGGTCAGAAAAGACCTGTGGTCTGCGCGATGACTAAAACATTACCACTCAAGAGGGAGGTGGAGGAGGTAGCACAGGCAGAGAGAACGAGCAGATGTATTAAGGGTGCAGGTATTCAAAAGACCAGACTGGTTTGGCTGGAGGGAAGCCTCTTGCTGGGAGAGACAGGATGTATGGCTGGAAAGGTAGGATGGGCTCAGATGGTGAGAGGCTTGACTGTTGCACCGAACTGGCTTCCTAACTCCTGTGCCATGCTGGCCCTTTGTGTGAATGTGTGTGTGTGCTCTGGAGCTGCCGTTTGGGGTTTCAATCCCAGCTCTACCACTTATAAGCATCTTATAATCATTTACTGGGTATCCTACGGCCAGTTACTTAATCTTTCAAAGATGAATGCACTCACCTTTAAAAAGGAATAAATAGTAATACTTAAGCATGTGAAGTGCTTAGTGCAGTGACTACATATAGTATAGTACTAAGTAAATGGTTATTATAGTGTTTTCCAAATTGAATTACACTTAAACATATATCTACTTTTCCTGTACAGTGGAGGAGAATGAAAATAGGATGCTAGGGGAATAAACTCCTTATTTTAAAAACTGGTGTATAAAGGGGGAAAAAATCAAGCATTGATTCTGCCTTTTCTACATGAGCCATACTATTGGATAACCACATAATAAACGAGCAGAAGTTTTTCTTTATAGAATTCAGCTGATTAGCAAAAAAAAAAAAAAAAAAACAGGCTAGAAATAGAATATCACCGATTTCAGTGCCTAATGAACTAATGGATCCATACAAAGATCATCAGTGGTTGCTAGCATCCAGAGAGAGAGGCAACCATGTGTTATGTGCCTCCTGATGGAAGAACAATAGCTATGAAATAGTCTTGTCAAAAAGATTTGAACTTGTGTCTGAACAAGCCTCTAGATCCAGTTATTAAATTATGGAAATAAGAGGACATAGGAGCAGATTATTAAAGAATACCACAGGGATGCAGCAAAATGAGGACTGTGAGAGACTCAACAGATAAAAATCTGATTTTTGTCAACAAATTGCAGAACAGAAAGAGAATGAGCAAGGGGGGTTGAAGGAAATGGAGGGAGATCTTATAGATCAAAAGATACCTAAAAGACTTACCAGCCAATTGCAATGAATAAACTTCAATTAGATCTTGATTCAAACTATTTAAAAATTATAGCATTTATGAGAAAATTGAAAATTTGAACACTGATTAGATGTTTGATATTTAGAAATTAGTGTCAATTTTTCAGAAGTGATAATTGTGTTTTTTAAAAAAACATACTAAATGGAGAAAGATGAAAAAGTAGTATGTTTATAATGGTAAACGTTGATCTTATTTTTTTATTTTTAAATATTTTCCCTAAGAAACATGTACTTTTTGTTTTACAGGTTGCTGCATGATCTTAACTTTTCCAAAGATGAGATCCATAGTTTTACAGCATAATGAAGAGCTGTCATTGTCTTTTATTCAACTAGTTTATATCTAAATTTGTGATTGCTTAGGGGTTTTTTAAGAGAACATTTTTGTATATAATAAAAGGTTAACTAGAATTCAGGCTTCAGTTTCTTAAATGAAAATCAAATGTTCCTTCATTATAGGTAACTTCTTGTCTTTTTTTTGTACCATAACTTATTTTACTACTGATATTTACCCTGGAAAGTCAATCATGGCAACAAATACATACAGGATTCTTTGTTATGAATCTAAACTTTCCTTACCATTTAAATTGTATAACTGTTCTACAATAAGCACTTGTGTTTTATGACATGATAAATGATCACTTTGATCACGTTTCTATGTTGTAAAATGTCTTATTAGCAATACAGATTAAATTTTACATTGCACTGTTAACTCAGGAAATGATCATTTATGTCCTTGTTATTAATATTAAAACATGGAATGTTATAACTTATTAAGTGATCCAAACATCTGTGTGTGTGTGTGTGTGTGTGTATTTATATGACATTGATGCAGAATAGAATAAAATTATTTATACTTAAGTACTTTTAATCCTTGTGGTAGAAATGTGGTTGAATGCAACAATATTGGGCCAATATATTAAGGGGGATTTTAAAAGCAGCAATAAAAGATACTAGACATACTTCAAACTTACACCTTTGGACTGGGTGTGTTAGAGAGCTTAAGAGAATCTTGACAGCTCTTTTAATTCTTAGCCAAAAACAAAGGACTCAGGAAAGAGAATGAAAGTAGCATCTAGTCCCATGGCCTAAAATTATCATTGGTGCTTTGGAATAGGTTGAATTTTAATTCTTTTTAAGCCCGTCTAGACCAGCTGGGCAAATGAGGAACATTCTGTCCTAAATGGTTCTTTCCCTGGCTGGCTGCATTCTCCACAGCTGGTAGTTTGGCAGGGAGCCCTCCTAGGCTCTGTTGTACAGACAACTTTTTCTTTCTCCCTGCTGCTGTGTGCAACCTTCAAATACTTTCACAGATTGATTTCAGCAGAGGGTATCAAGAAAAGTCATTATGAGCTTTTCATGAGGAAACTGTGTTGAATGCATAGGTAGCTACTGCATAAGCTAACTCAGATTTTTCAGTCTTACTCAATACAGCAGCAATGTTTTCACAGAATTAGGGGATGGAAAGAGTCTCAAATTTCCCTATAAATGATTTTGTGAATAACTAAGTCTTCACTGATGGAAGATGTGCTCAAGAGGAACACAATATTAACATATTCCCAGACTACAGACACCCACCTTGTGAAGCTCCCTATGTGCAAAAGGCTGGTTGAACACTGTCACCTTTTCCTGTGTCTCCCTCTTCCATAGCCAATTCCACTCTCGTCATTCACTAGGACCAGGGCAGGAATCTAGCTTCCTGGGATGGCAGTGCCCCCTGGGGGCTAACAGGAACTTTCTCTAGCTTCCCGTCTTCCTACCACCATTTTTTTTTTTTTTTTTGTAGTTCATTAGGAATATATCATTTAACTCTACCTTAGCCAATATTTTTCTTATCTTTTCTAGCCCCTTTTTTTCCTCTTCAATCTTTTTCTGGTTACCTCAAGCAAAAAGAATCTCCTCTCTCCTCTCTTCTTCATTCCTCCTCTTATTAACATCTTCTGAGTAATTCCACTCACATGATTTTATCAACTTCATATTAATAATGCCCAAATTGCAGTCTCTAATTGGAGAATCACCTGAGCCTCTGTTTTCAATATTCATTTACTTTCTGGACTCCACCTGGATGTTCTACAAACCCTTGGACTCAACATGTCCCAACTAAACTGTCATCATGATCATCTTTTCCAAGTCTGTTCTTCCCCTTGGGATTCTCTGTCTGATTCGCTAGTTCTGCCTTCCACCTAGTAAGCCTTCTGAAGCCATTAGGAGTCAACATCAACATCTCCTTCTTTATTCTGGCTTTTCCACCCCAGCTGACCCAGCCCTGTCACCCCTTAATTGATTAGTACAGTAGCCTAACATAACCACATAATAAATGAGCAGAAGTTTTTCTTTATAGAATTCAGCTGATTAGCAAAAAAAAAAAAAAAAAAACAGGCTAGAAATAGAATATCACCGATTTCAGTGCCTAAGAACTAATGGATCATACAAAGATCATCAGTGGTTGCTAGCATCCAGAGAGAGAGGCAACCATGTGTTATGTGCCTCCTGATGGAAGAACAATAGCTATGAAATAGTCTTGTCAAAAAGATTTGAACTTGTGTCTGAACAAGCTTCTAGATCCAGTTATTAAATTATGGAAATAAGAGGACATAGGAGCAGATTATTAAAGAATACCACAGGGATGCAGCAAAATGAGGACTGTGAGAGACTCAACAGATAAAAATCTGATTTTTGTCAACAAATTGCAGAACAGAAAGAGAATGAGCAAGGGGGTTGAAGAAATGGAGGAGATCTTATAGATCAAAAGATACCTAAAAGACTTACCAGCCAATTGCAATGAATAAACTTCAATTGGATCTTGATTCAAACTATTTAAAAACTATAGCATTTATGAGAAAATTGAAATTTGAACACTGATTAGATGTTTGATATTTAGAAATTAGTGTCAATTTTTCAGAAGTGATAATTGTGTTTTTTAAAAAACATACTAAATGGAGAAAGATGAAAAAGTAGTATGTTTATAATGGTAAACGTTGATCTTATTTTTTTATTTTTAAATATTTTCCCTAAGAAACATGTACTTTTTATTTGTTTTACAGGTTGCTGCATGATCTTAACTTTTCCAAAGATGAGATCCATAGTTTTACAGCATAATGAAGAGCTGTCATTGTCTTTTATTCAACTAGTTTATATCTAAATTTGTGATTGCTTAGGGGTTTTTTAAGAGAACATTTTTGTATATAATAAAAGGTTAACTAGAATTCAGGCTTCAGTTTCTTAAATGAAAATCAAATGTTCCTTCATTATAGGTAACTTCTTGTCTTTTTTTTGTACCATAACTTATTTTACTACTGATATTTACCCTGGAAAGTCAATCATGGCAACAAATACATACAGGATTCTTTGTTATGAATCTAAACTTTCCTTACCATTTAAATTGTATAACTGTTCTACAATAAGCACTTGTTTTTATGACATGATAAATGATCACTTTGATCACGTTTCTATGTTGTAAAATGTCTTATTAGCAATACATTGCACTGTTAACTCAGGAAATGATCATTTATGTCCTTGTTATTAATATTAAACATGGAATGTTATAACTTATTAAGTGATCCAAACATCTGTGTGTGTGTGTGTGTGTATTTATATGACATTGATGCAGAATGAATAAAATTATTTATACTTAAGTACTTTTAATCCTTGTGGTAGAAATGTGGTTTGAATGCAACAATATTGGGCCAATATATTAAGGGGATTTTAAAAGCAGCAATAAAAGATACTAGACATACTTCAAACTTACACCTTTGGACTGGGTGTGTTAGAGAGCTTAAGAGAATCTTGACAGCTCTTTTAATTCTTAGCCAAAAACAAAGGACTCAGGAAAGAGAATGAAAGTAGCATCTAGTCCCATGGCCTAAAATTATCATTGGTGCTTTGGAATAGGTTGAATTTTAATTCTTTTTAAGCCCGTCTAGACCAGCTGGGCAAATGAGGAACATTCTGTCCTAAATGGTTCTTTCCCTGGCTGGCTGCATTCTCCACAGCTGGTAGTTTGGCAGGGAGCCCTCCTAGGCTCTGTTGTACAGACAACTTTTTCTTTCTCCCTGCTGCTGTGTGCAACCTTCAAATACTTTCACAGATTGATTTCAGCAGAGGGTATCAAGAAAAGTCATTATGAGCTTTTCATGAGGAAACTGTGTTGAATGCATAGGTAGCTACTGCATAAGCTAACTCAGATTTTTCAGTCTTAATACAGCAGCAATGTTTTCACAGAATTAGGGATGGAAAGAGTCTCAAATTTCCTATAAATGATTTTGTGAATAACTAAATCTTCACTGATGGAAGATGTGCTCAAGAGGAACACAATATTAACATATTCCCAGACTACAGACACCCACCTTGTGAAGCTCCCTATGTGCAAAAGGCTGGTTAACACTGTCACCTTTTCCTGTGTCTCCCTCTTCCATAGCCAATTCCACTCTTGTCATTCACTAGGACCAGGGCAGGAATCTAGCTGGGATGGCAGTGCCCCCTGGGGGCTAACAGGAACTTTCTCTAGCTTCCCGTCTTCCTACCACCATTTTTTTTTTTTTTTGTAGTTCATTAGGAATATATCATTTAACTCTACCTTAGCCAATATTTTTCTTATCTTTTCTAGCCCCTTTTTTTCCTCTTCAATCTTTTTCTGGTTACCTCAAGCAAAAAGAATCTCCTCTCTCCTCCTCTCTTCTTCATTCCTCCTCTTATTAACATCTTCTGAGTAATTTCCACTCACATGATTTTATCAACTTCATATTAATAATGCCCAAATTGCAGTCTCTAATTGGAGAATCACCTGAGCCTCTGTTTTCAATATCCATTTACTTTCTGGACTCCACCTGGATGTTCTACAAACCCCTTGGACTCAACATGTCCCCAACTAAACTGTCATCATGATCATCTTTTCCCAAGTCTGTTCTTCCCCTTGGGATTCTCTGTCTGATTCACTAGTTCTGCCTTCCACCTAGTAAGCCCTTCTGAAGCCATTAGGAGTCAACATCAACATCTCCTTCTTTATTCTGGCTTTTTTCCACCCCAGCTAACCCAGCCCTGTCACCCCTTAATTGGATTAGTACAGTAGCCTAACAGTTGATCTTTCTGTTGCTGTCTTGTTCTCACTGAAACCCATTTTCCATTTCAGTGTGTTCTAGAAGGACTTGGAGAGGAACACTCTAAATAGAGCCTCACTGAATACAACCATATACTGTGGGCCACAGATAGGAGCATAGACTGTAACTAGTATTCTTGAGCAAAGAACTCAAAGACTACATCACTTATTTGTAATGAGAAAAGAGAATTATGCTCAAAGTCACTTTTGCTTGGGAATTCTGCTTGCTTTTTAAAAAAAATGATTTGTTTATATAATAATTACCATATACTTAGTGGCTTAAAACCACCCATTTATTATCTTGCAGTTCCATGGCTCAGAAGTCTGGGCAGAAGAATGTGGCTCAACTGAGTCCTCTGCTGTAGGAGGAAGAGCCTCTATGTAAGAGTCCTTCCAGCCTCATTTAGGTTGTTGTTAGAATTCAGTTCCTTGCAATTGTAGGACTGAGTTCTCCATTTCCATGCTGGCTGTTGGCTGGGGACTAACAGTTTCTAGAAGCTGCCCATATTCCTTCTCATGCTTTCTGTGTGGCCTTTTCTAGCACTGGTGGATCACATCCCTCTCATGCTTTGAATCTCTCTGAATTCTCCTGCTGCCATGTCTTTCTTGCCCCAGCCAGAGAAAGTTCACTGCTTTTACAATCCTATGTAGTTAGATTGGGCCCACTCAGATATCCAGGGTAATCTCCCTATTTTAAGATCTGTAATCTTAATTACAGCTGCAGAGTTCCTTTTGCCATGTAATATAACATATTCAGAGGTTATAGGCAGGCAT